GCCCCACCAGCTTAGCTGCATTTTCCCCCTTTTTTTTTGCCAGCTCGCTGGTGCAACTCGAATGCGTTTCGTATAATTATTTGGCTTTTGGAATTCGACAAACTCGTTTTAAGCTTTTTGTTTTAAATTACTTAGCAGTGGGTCTCGGGACTCGGATCGGTTTGCGGATGGGTGTTTGGCTTGCTTTGGCCCAAATGAAAGGGGCTTCCGCGAAGTATTCGAACCACCCACCCAGATGACTCGCCAAGCACAACAAAAAAACACCCAAAAGCATCGGTGTGAGTTAGATGGAGTGGATCGGATTACAGGCCCGGTGCAAAAGATTCACCAAACACCAACGGAGTGGCAAATAATCCTCTTACTCAGCTCAGTTCGGTTCAGTTCAGTTGAGTTTTGCCCCGGAGAGTGAGTTTGCCATGTGGATGGTGGAAAATGGGGGATTGGGGGGCACTGAATCTGTAACTAAGGCCTGCAACTGCGTCACATTTGCGATCGTGGCTGCAGCTCTTAATTGCACAAGTCGCCCAAAAGTCACATGTCACCAAGTTGTTGGCGAGATGTGCCAAGAGCTGGCGGGACGCTGTGCATTAATTCATTGCCCAAGATCTCATCAGGTGGCCCCCATCATCAACAACCGAATCATCGCCCCACCAAAAGTTCGCTGATCTTGCCGCTTTGTCTCCACATGGAGAGTGCTGACCTCGATTATTGGCCAGAGTACAGTTTGGCCTCTCTCACGGCAATTGATCGATTCACGATCCAGTCAAGACCCAGCCAGACTCGGGCTCCAACAAAGACCGATTCTTTGTTATAATTGCGTTCCGGCCACTTATTGCATTGAAAAAAAAAATGTCACCAAAAGTGATCACAATTTTACATTGTTTTACCAGACATTTTTTTAAATTATTACTTTTCCTTACAAGGCTATAAAATATCAATGATTGATAAACCTTATTAAAAATGGTTGTAAAATAAAAACAAACATTTTTAGCTTTTTTAAAAAATGACATTGCAATTTATTTAATAAAAAAAAATATGACGTAACAAATAAGATTTATATGCACCCGTGTGAATCAGTAGAAGTTTCCGTAATATCCGTGCGAAGCTTGGATAAAAAATTATACAAGTAATGTAATTTATTTTTCCTGTTTAAAATGTTAAATCTACTAAACCAATGCTTTTTTTTTGCCTACTTCTTGTCTTGGACATTTCAGCACTGGATGACAGCATTTCAAGTGGGTGTGTTTCTGCAAACCGGTATCTCAGTCTTTGTGTACACAAAGATCTGCGTTGGTCATTGGTACTCGTTCGACCGGCTGCGAAGGCCGAGTTACGAGCAAACACAACCAGACTGACACAGATTGATCCTAAGAATTATCTAAGCCAGATAAAAGTATTATTAAATCGCGTTGGTCGACATTACAGTAACCATAATGACTTAGCCTTGGAGCTATAAACTTTATTTACGTGAGTTATTTGTCACCTGAGTTATGACCAATCAGGGAATTAAAGAATCGCCTTGAAACTCAAAGAGCAGCTGAGTAAACAAAAACTTTTGAATTAAACCCCTTGTGTGGCACTGCAGTTTGACGTCACAGGCTCGTGGATAATAATTCAAATTCGCAACAAAACACAATACAGTATATAGAAGCCAGAATAGGAGGTTCACTTGTTTATCCAGCAAAACTTTCTGCAGCTGATAAAACAAAAGACACTTGCCTGAGAAACGGGAAACTGCGATGAAGATACGGGCTTTTGGAAAAGGGAAATGAATATATGGCTCTGGGAAGCCAGAAGCAAACAAAAACAGTTATTAAGCCAACATTTGGCTGAAATGATTTCACGTACCAGTTCCCAAAGCTTTGCCATATTACTTTATAGTCGGCATATCTGGTTGTGTTTGCATCTCGGGGGCATTTGACGCATGTTTGGGAATTATAAAGATGCGAAATAATTAAAGTAGAAACAATGGAAGCCGCAACAGGAGCCATGCGTCAATTTATAAGAGATAAACAACCTGCAAGGCCTGAATAAAATATGCCCATCTATTTAAGAGCCATAAAAACCAGCTATATCCTCACAGTGATTTATGTTTTATTTAAATTGACAGAAGCCACCAAATGAAAACTACAAATTTGTATTTGTAATTGTAGCTGCTAGAAGTTCTGAAACACTGATAAATTTAAACACTTTGTATACAACGAAATTGGTATAAATAAAACACCATGTAAATTGTATTGATTTGTTTTATTATCTAATTGGCAACTGAAAACCAAAATTTGAAATTGAAATTTGAATGAAACGCGGTGGGAGGAGCGACTTGGCAACGCGATGTGTGTGCTCGAAGATTAAAAATAAGTTTTTACCACAAAAAAGCAAATAGTACAAACAATCATGGCCACGTCGTCTGCTCGATGTTTACTCGAGAATCAGAGGCAAACAGAAAACAGTCAACGAGCTGATAATGAAGACAAATCAACAGAGCATACACCACCCCCCTTGGGATCGGACCAGTTTACAGATTGGATAGATCGGATTATGCTCTGCCTCTGCCTCTTCATTTTCCAGTTTCATCACTTGCCCCAAAAGAGCTTTACCCTCGGTTTGTTTGTTTTTCCGCTGTTTGTTTAACTTCTTCTCGGAGGGACTTAATCTAGGGGGCGGTATTAGCTAGAGGCTAACATCCGACACGAGAAATCTAAGAAATGAGAATTCTTTAGAAGAGGCCAACAAAGAAATAGAAATAGCATGACTTTGATCTCTGAATATGCATCGCTTATAAGCCGTTCATTAAATTCGGCTAAGACGCTATTAAGAAATCGGTTTTCGAATTTATAAATAAGAAAAAAGAAAGTGAACAGAGTTCAGCCCAAAAATTATAATTCAACTCGCATAGAGAGAAGCACCAAATATGCTTAAATAAAATCAAAACTTTAAAACTCATTGTTTAGAAATGAAAATCAGGAAAAGTGGAGAAGTCGTTTATTTGGGCTAAACTTTATTTTGCGTGTGGCAGGCAGGGCACAAAAAAAACACAGATTGGAACTGACCCAAAAACGCCGACATGCGACACAGTCGAAGCAATCAAAAAATTACAACAGGAAAAGTTGAAAAGTACACACAAAAAATTAAATAAATAGGTGAGCGAGTGAATAAGTGAACGAATGAGTGAATGAATGAGTGAATGAATGAATGGGTGGCCCTAAATCTATGTTCAACGCAATTTGTGTTCAGTCGAGGAATCAAAAAAAAAAACTAAGCTTAAGTAAACAAAAACAACTTTTGTTGTCGTCTTTTTTTCCCTTACTGGCTTTTGGTGAATTTACTAAAATGGTTATCATTGTTGTTATTGTGCTCAACGCCACACAACCGAAATTTGTATAATATCTGATCGTGGTTGTTGTTGTTGGCTTTGTTTTAAAATCGCGCTTTCTCCGCCTGAGAATGAGAAACGAAAACAAAAGTCAATGACGAATTTGAGAAATTTCCTGAGGTTTTTTGTCTAGAAACCCAAAAACTGGATTCAGTTGGCGTGTCGCTGCTTCCAAATGGAGCAGTTCCCAAAAAAAAACAATAACAATAACAAAAATATTTAAGTAGGTACTTTAACACATCTGGACACATTTGTTCCCGAAAACGAACTAGCTGAAATGTAAACATTTTGCCAACTAGAGTACTTAGTGTGTTCGTTTTTTATGACTTTTTAATTGCTACTTTGGGATGGAAATTTTAAGTGTTTCCAGTAAACGATGATGGGCAAATTGGGGGTGTAAGGGGTTTAATTTCCTCTCTGCAAAAGTGTGCCTAAGTAAACATTCCATCTCCACTGATTCTGCTACTTTCGGTCTTAAACTTCTTCTAAAAGTTTCATGCTGACGTTGTGGTAAAAGTTAATTGCTATTTTCGTTCCCCTTTGATTGAAGAACTACTCAATCCCTTCATCTGCGTTTCTTCACTCAAAATTAATCAATTTTCAAGTGGCTTAATGATGTAACACAGCTCGAAGCGACTCCCGGATTATGAAAACATTTCCGCCTATGACTTTTAAATGAAATTAAATTCACTGCTCACTTAAATCCGTAATTAGACAATATGTGAAAACTCATTCACCGCTTGCACAAAAGGCAAAGCAAAAGCACAGTCAAAGGCGAAAACATTTTACTGCCGAAGATAAAAAAAATATGGACACAAAACCAACTGCACGTCGAATTGAACGGAGGCTATAAATGTGTAAAGCTATATAGACGTAGATTGGGAAAGAAATTGAAAAGTTTTAACGACTTTGGAAAACAATTCAAAACACGGCAGCAGCTCCTAAAACTTCTATCTAAACTATAGATTTCATTCAAGTGGCAAATTCTGCAGTAGAATTAAGTTTAATTATGCTTCAAAATTGGAAAGTCTGCGTTTAATACAAACTACCAACTATTGTTATGTTTCATATGATCTTGTTATAATTCATTTTACTATCAGTAAACAAAAAAATGACAACATAGAAGCAATAGACTTCCAAATCGTGTCGCAAATCAAATAAAACTTTAGCTCCTGATTTTTGGCTACGGTTGAATGACCTCGTGGACAAAGTTTGACTAGTTGGAAGTCCTTAAGTCGTACCAATCGCTGGCGTAGCAATCGATTTTCCCACATTTCCCGCCAGTCGAAAAAGTTATCCCTTTGGCCGCGCTTCATGTTCCATTAAATTGAACTGCAGTTTCAGCCGTTGAAGCTTTGTTTCTGCGACTTTGATTGATATTGTGTGACATACTCGGCGATTCGATTTCAATTTTCGTCATCGTCGGCAGTTACGTTTCAGGGGCTTTCGGTGGAAAAGAAGTCACGTAATATCCCATCTGGCCCATTGCAATGTTAACAACATGATTTTTTAGGCCATATGTGTGGGAAGTTCACAGAGCAGCTGGCAAAATGGCAAAACCCGTTGACAAGTTTTCAAAACAATACAAGTCGCAAATTCATAACAAATGATTTTGAGGCGGACTCACCTTCAAGTTGTTTTCCTTGTTTTTCCTCCTTGCTTTATATTTTCACTGCGACTCTTTATTCGATTCCACTGTTCATTGGGATACTTTCGCACATTCATTTGCTGATTTATTTGTAAACACACAAATCAAAGAGATTCCTCTAATTATTTCGCATTAAAATTGCTCATTTTTGTTTTGCTGAAAATAATTTGATAGATTCTTTTACTTATTGAACAATAACAATTGTGGATTTGTTTTTATTTCTCTCCCGGGAGAGAGATAGAGAGAGTTTCATTGAGCAAGTCGAGCGGGACGAATGGAGAGTGGGTTTTGGTTAACCGGTTTTGGGTTTTCTTAATCGAGAGAAACACCGTTAGAAAGAGAGCGCAGCGCGATCGCCCGATTATGTTGTTTGTGCTTTAACCTGCCTCTTTTTGTTACGTGCAAAGATTTGGCAAGAAAACCCAGCGGGGGCTAATTGGGGCTACCAGCAGCAAAGGGAGCGAAAGAGAAGAGGCAAGCGAAGAAGAGAGCGCCAGCCAAGCGCAAAAAATGGAACAAGCCACACGAAGATTGGAATTACACATCAAGGTGTAAATATAGGAAAATTGGTGAACAACCTTCTACAGGTGTTTGAAAAAAATAACCGAACCAGACAAGATACTATTCAATAAATCGAACTTTCATAAATCAATGTCTTTATAATGAAAGAACTAGAAAACTGAAAGATGTCCTAAAAGTTCAATCGGTTTTTTTTTTAAACTGGATATTAGTAGTATTAGAGCATATTCTATTGTTGCTTTCAAATCTTTTCTCAAAGTTGACGAAGTTTGTGAGACAGCATTTTTAAAAACGCATAGATGAGCAACATTTTTAATCCGCTGCCCCTCTCGCCCCCCTGGCGACGCCCTTGGCTCATAAATGACTTACTTGAGACAGTCTTCAGTTTTTCTTTAATTATAGATAGAACCAAACTTCATGCGGTTAAAAGTGATTATTGAGAAACTGATTATTAACCATAGCTGTTGATAACCAAAAATAACACTACACATGTGTAATGCAAGGCAATTCTTTATTTTAAGTTTTTTTTTTTAATAATCAAAACCGCCTAAAGATAGCATCATAGGTATGTTTGTTATATCTTTTTAAGCACAAATTTGTCGCAATCTTTTTCCAAAAGTTGTACTTAACCCGGCGGACTGCGATTGATAAAACCAGTTTTTTTATATTTCGGGTATAAACAGATCACTTCGAACTAGTTTGAATTATTCTCGAAAAGTCGAAATACGGAATCGTACAGAGTTCCATTGATCAGTTTTTGGCAACCAATAGAAAAATGATTTTGCCATTAGCACAGTTCTGCGAATCATTCGCCTTTTGTTAAAAATCACACAACCTTAAGCTATAGTAAAAATGTGTAAATGCGCAAGTACTATATGTACCTACACATGTCAATTGTACTTAGCGTGCGTTTTTATTTTGTTTTTTTCTTTGCTTATGAGTTGCTTTGGTCTGGCAATGAACGATTATGCAAAAATAAATCAATTGAAAAGCAACAACGAAGAAAACGCAAGAAAACGCCACAAAGGAAAACTCAGTGGGGGAGCGAGAGGGAAGAGAGTGCGGGGGACGGGGGAAAAGGGAATCTGTAACAAGTGCCTTTAAAGGGAAAACAGGGTGTCCTAAAATCAAGGCAACGTTCTATCACCTTGGTAATTATCACACTCATCTATTTTGACATTGAAACGCTTTTCACAAGTTGAACAAAATGTTGTAGAATAATTAAAAACAAATGCAACTAGAACAAAATTAAACAAATTAGATCGAAAATATGTTGTATTGTATCAAAAGTAAATGGCTTTGTTCACTGAACAAACAAATATCTATGAAATTCATCTGACTTTTATCAAAATTGTTAAAAGTTTTCCACTTTTGTTTATTGTTATTATATTCATTAAGCATCAAAAACTGTATAATTTAATGGTCTACGTGATCCCAAACTTAATTTTTTATCACTGAAAAGCTCCTGTGCACATTTGAATAATTTATTTGTTGCATTATGAAAGAACAACAAATAGTTTGCCACACAGAGAGAGAAAAAGAGAGCAACCCCCACTCACACACCTTTACCTGGTGGGTATGTAGAGCGAGACGAGTCTGGACCCCAGGAGGGCGAAAAGGGACCGGGAGGAGGAAGGAGAGACAAAGAGACAGAAGGACGGACGGAAGACAACATAAGAAGACGAGACAGAACAGATGTCCACACACACACTGGCACAGGTGGGGAGCCAAACACTAACACACCTACACATTTGGACGCAGTGCAAATAAGAGATTTTAGAGCACATTGTGTTCCAAGCAGACTTATCACTCCCTGCACTCCTTGCTATTCAAGGACCCTTTGCACTCTTATCACTTCTTTGTTTGGGTTACTGACCCGTAATTGCACGTTATTTATGTTTGATTGCACCCACACACACGCACCGCTGCCGAAACGATGCTTTTCGCGAAAGTAGCGCAAAATCAATCCAACACTTCTTCGTTTGCCACACAAAAACAAAAAGGTGGCTTAATTACCCGACGCGAATCCGTTCAGTTGAAGTCGAATCTCAACCATCCGTTTTACCATCCGTCGAATTTGGATTTCAAAAGACGAATGGTGATAAAGCGAATGGAAAGAAGACGGAGAGAATAGCAACTAACGATTTTGCGCCTCTCTTTGCTCTCTTTCTAGGGATGGCAGAAATTACGTTATATCGGGTAACACTGATGCTTAAATTTGATAATGTATGATTTGCAAAACTATAGAATCGAAAAATATGTTTAGAACTGTTTGAATAAAAACAATACGAATTTAATAATAAAAATTCAAAACAATGTAATATATTTACGTTTGACTCACATCTTTAACAAAGATTTTTCAAGCAACTTAGACCTAAACCATGGTGAGTGAGTTGGGTATTTTGCGACTGACTCCACTTTACCCTTTACTGGTTATAGATTGTTTTCACTTGCACATTTTACATTGGGGTAAAATTAAATATATTTTTTACAAAGCTTGATTTTCGTTAATATTAATAATTTAAATCAAGTACAACCCAAATAAAATTTATTTTTCGTTTTGATATTGATATTCATAGAGTATCCATTTCCATTTCCAGGATACCTTTTCGGTAATTGTCCTTTTTTTCAATCCCACTCACATTTGAATAAAAAACACTTTTTAGGTAAATATACATTTATTTCATTTAATGATTTCTTGCTTTTCAACAATGTAAATATTCAGCTAACGATTTTTGCTCTCCGGTATTCATCCTGTTAACGTACCAATTTAATTTTGAATTGCATTTAGGGTTTGTCTTAGTTTAGAGGACTACGAGTAGAGTAAATGGTTTAGTACAACTAATGGATTACAACAATCGGTTATTACCACTTGTCATCGCATGGTCTCAATAAAAAAGTAAAAAATTCACTTGTTCACACAACAAACTAAGAAACAGAAGGTGAGAAACAATTCTGTCAATACTTGAATCAATGCAACTAACGTACGAGTCTATTTCTATAGGTATGTGTATATATATCTTATACTTAGGTATATCCTTCATGAGTGTAGAATCACAGCCTTTTCATCGGACTCGCATTGGAGTCCTGTTGTGTTTGAATTGTCAAGTATTTCTGTTAGGGTGATACATATTTTAGTCGCTAGTTTTAAATAATCCGTACATGGTACCCACATGAATTAGCATTGTATTTTAGTTTATGTTTAACAATAGTCGGTTAGGTTGGGTTCGGTTCTAGTGCATTAACTCTCTACTTATATACAAATAAATATGTAAACTATGACATAAGTGCAATTATGCGACTGCAATTGCTTTCCTTCTGGCGTTAAGGCAAACACTTTCAACTAAAACTCAGATAGTTAACTCGGAAATCTAAGCGCGTCTACAACAAATCATTTGCTAAACAAACTATTCAAATTGGTCACTAAGTACATTTAAGCTAATTGCTCTCACAATCTACGGAACAGAGTGGGTAAACTAAACTAACGCAATATTATTAATAATAATCGGTGTCGAAGGCCACATATTTAGAGTGAAAGCACACGTGTACATGGTTTGCGGGGATTGCTAGTCGTGTTTCCTTATCCTATTTTGCTGCTGAGATAGCCGAGGAATTGCATTTTGGCGCTCGATCAGGTAATCGTTGTTATAATCTGATTCTTAGACCCATAATCGGTGATTCTGCAAAGGGATTTTTATTAATTTATATAAGTTATGATCTTAAATGGTAAGTTGCCAAAGCAATATACAAATAAAAAGACACAAAATCATAATAAACTCATAGTTGTAAGGATTCATGCTCAAAAGGTTTGTAGTCAAATCGTGCATCGAAATCAGTTGCAGTTTTTGCTGATCAAGTCAAGTATTTTGTGCCTTTTTACCTATAGATTGATGAGGCTGATGTGGAGCGCGACCAAGTAACTAACAAACCCTCACCTCTGCTGCGCTCGCGTTTGCTCTGCAGAATGACTTTGGTGCTGTCGTCGGGACACAGCGAGATGCGCATTGTGGTTAGGAGCAGCCTGCAAGAATAGGATTATATTAGTAACTTACACCTTCAAAGGATAACCCACACTTACCGTGGCAGAACAGCCACCACTGTGGAGAGCAGTATCACCAGCCAGTGAACAGCGGAGGCGAAGCACACAAATATCACCCAGTACGTGGAGAGCACTCCAAAGCAATTCACGCACATCGAATTGTACACAATCGAAAAGAGGTAGAAGGAAACTAAGCTAGCCACTATGGATAAGACATGCAGCACAGTCTGAAACAGATAAACAATTTAATGAGTATATAATGATATAAATTAAGTAAATAAACTCACCCAGGAACGTATTTCAATGGCACAGTGCACGAGATTGGCGAAGAGACAGGACGCCGTTATCGTCGTGCCAAACTCCCAGATTCCCACATCGCTTTCCGCATAGGCGCACAGCGCCACGAAAAATATTACCAAACTCTGGTAGAGGGCATCCAGTAATATCAGCCAAAAGTCGTGCGGTCTATAAGCTACGCTTAATCGACCCTGAAAAACGAAAGTTCAAATATTAAAAGTTAAGTATACAGCCGGTTTAATTGTAAACAGGTCCCAAAGCCATTTTCATAATGACTTTATATCGATTAAGACTAATAGAACTTGTTTGGTAACTCACGTTTTTATAGAGATATGGATTCTTTAGCAGGAGATCTTCGGGTACACGTTTGTCGTACACTCCAATTGCCAAGGGCGGCAGCGAGGTGAATATCAAGTTATACAGCATCAAGTACATCTGATCTATCATGACAGAGCCGGAGAAGCCGCAATACAACTGGTACCAGAATATCAGAAAGACAAAGGCCTAAAAAAAAGGTAGCTTGTTAGATTAATTTTTAATGAAAAAGTTCATCAATACTTACTGCATTCTTGTAGAAAAAGTACAAAATCATGCGAGATAATCGATCGTAGCACCAATATCCATGCGCCAGAAGCAATCGCTCCAAGTAACGAAATCGTGGCAAAGTGAAATCGGCGGCCATGACAGCTTGCATGCCCTCCTGACCAGAGATTCCCACGCCCACGTCAGCCATCTGGATCATGGACACATCGTTGGCGCCATCGCCAATGGCCAGAGTTCGCAGATTGAGCTCCTCCTTAACCACTTTGACTAGGTACGCCTTCTGCAGCGGCGTGGAGCGGCAACAAAGTACCGAAGCGCATCGTTTTGCCAGTCGCAGAAAAGGCAGAATCAGTTTGGATCTGGTAGAAATAAGGAAACAATTAAAGTAATGAAAAATAAACAAATCAATCTTAAACTCACTTGGGATCTAGAATAAAGGTGAGTGTCTTGCCATCTACCACCAAAGCGCGTTGCTTTTTTCTTAAAGTCTGGCCATAACCCAAAGAAGATGTTGTCTTGTCGTTCTCCATGTCAGTCAGATAGAAATTTATGGCTGTCTCAGCTGCATCGCGCGATCGCGCTGTTAACCTAAAATAATAAAGGAGATATAATTAATAAAAGTTATAATAAAATAGAATACAAATACTTGCCTAATTAGCTCCATTTGCTGTGTGAAAAGCTTTGCAGAGTAGGCAATATTTATGGCCGTTTCGGGTTTGTCTCCAGTCAGCACCCAAACTGAGATGCCTGCAGATAGAAGCGATGCTATCGTCTCTGGCACTCCATCCTGCAGGCGATCCTCGATTCCTGTTGCCCCCAATAAGGTGAGATTGCTCTCCAGCTTGGCAAACGAATCGCGTAGCCTTCGTTCGCGATTCTCCAACGACATCTCAATCTCCTGATGCCGTGCCCACCAATCTGTGTAGTCAGCAGAGTTTAGAGTTCTTTTGGCCATCACCAAGATGCGAAGACCTTCGCGGGCATAGCGATCTAGCTGTTGCTGCGTTTGTTCGCGCAGGATGCCTAAAATAAATAGAGCATGGATTAATTACAATAAAATTAAATAATTTAAAGTATATAAGATCCTTACCCTCGGCACTGTTATGTGAACAGGGTGCCAGTACAGGCATTATAGAGCTATCAGCACCCTTGGTGTACAGCACAATCTCCTGGCTTCCAATCTGCCGAACCACAATGGACATGCACTTGCGACTGGAATCGAAGGGCAGCACCTTGAGTATCTCATACTCCTTCGTGACTCCCGCCGTTGGCATGCTGACCAAAATCTGGTTGGCACTGCGATTTAGCAGGCAACAATCATAGCTGTAGGCCGCATTCACCAAAGCCAACTCATCTGGACTTTCGGCTTCGTAGAGAGGTCGTCCATCGGCGGTTCTGTAAATTGTCTCCGTTTTTGATGAACTGAAAGAAAAGGAAATTAAATATATAAGTTTAAACTTATAGAAATCCTGTAAAAGCAAAAACTCACGGCAACTTGAACCGCTTTCCCTGCGTTTTGGCATTCAGGAAGGTGGCTATGCTGGTGATCTTCGAGTTGATCACCGCCTTTGCCCTTCCTGTGGGCGAAATACTGTTGGAGAGCGCCTTGTTCTTCATCGGCGGCGATGGTGATTCCGATTCGGAATTCGGAGACGACTCCGCCGAACTACTGATCGGCGAGAGCGTGGGCTGATGGCTCTGCGCTGGCAGGGCAAAAAGCAAATTCGGCGGCGGCGAGGGCGTCACCGATCGCGATTCTGCCAACCGGATATAACGATCGGCTGGAATGGAAACGGGTTGCTGCTGTATCGCAGGTCCATTCAATATAGTTGTCGTCGTGGTCGTAGTTGTAGTGCTGGCCAATAGCTTTTGTCGCTGCTTTCCGTGCTTAATATTCGCGGGACTGTTGCCTATTTGCTGCACCTCGATGATGCCACTGGCATTCATGAGATCTCGATGTGGAGCAGCGCCCACGATGACCGTGTTGCAGATGGCCAGCACCACCAGGAACTCCTGGATGCGTTGAGCATGCGGTGTGAGATAGGCTCCCTGTGTGAGTTGCGTCATGTCATTGCTCAGGTTATCATTCGGTATCAGCGGTGGAGCAGGGGCTCCTGGCTTCGAGTAGATCCTTTCCAGCTCTGAAGGCGGGTGATTGTAGTCCGATCCGTTGACCACACACCTTCGGAATATCATCTTGTTCTCCGTGAGAGTTCCCGTTTTATCAGTAAATATATGCTGGATCTGTCCCAACTCTTCGGTGATGTTCATCGCTCGACATTCGGTCTGCTTATTGGTCTCCTGATCGAACAGATCCACGTTGTTGTGGATGTGAAAGACCTGCAGGATCTTGCACAGCTCGATTGTGACGTACAGGGAGAGGGGTATCATCACCTGCAGAATGACAATGTACGTCCAGAAGATCCACAAGCTCTCTAGATTCGCATTCAGCCTGTCAATCGGCAAGTAGGGCACCGGGAATTGGGTAAACGAACTCAGCCACATTCGGCAGCCGATGGCGCCAACAACGCACAATATCAACAAAATTATCACACACCTGAAAAAATAAAAGAGAATTTGATATCAGATATTGTTAGATAAGATTTAGAATTATTTCAAGTTAATATTATAAATTAATTGGTTCTATCTAATTTTAGTAATCTTAACTTACCATATCACATCAATATTCATTTGCTGCTCCACCTGGGATCGCTTGTACCTTGGACCACTATTATTCAGCATTGACTTCGTTTCATGTCCCGCATAGACCACAATACCCTCAATATAATCCGTATTCTGTAAAAAGCAAACAGAAAAATTGTCATGTTTAAATGGAGAAAATCACATTAGATCCAAGCAGATAACCCACCTTCAGTCTGCTCTCTCTCAGCAAAAGGCACTCGGTCGATATGGGCACACGCTCCCCAGTTGGATGTATTAAGGCCCCATGGAATCTATATAGCTTCGTGGTCGGCGCATCCGCTTCCACGCGACTCACAAACTTGCTGGGCACAAAAATGCTCTGCATCTCCTCGAAGCCACGTACAACCTGCCAAAGAAATGTCAAATATCTGTAGTATCACGTATACGTTGTTTCTGGGTTAGCTAATTGCTGGGGAAAATAACTGACTGACTTACCTCGCGACGCTTCAGATTCGTTTCCCCGTCCAAGTCGCAGGTGTCTATGTAGCAGACCCCTTGGGGATCGCTTGTCCGCAAAAGCAGAATGTCCGCCGGCACAGTTTCGTTGTTGGACAGGTGGACAATGTCCCCGACACGCAGGTCCTGCCATTTCACCTTCTTGTACCGCTCCGTCTCTCTGCAATCCACGAGAATGGTACGCATTATTATAGATTAGCTGTCATAAGTCAAGTAATTTGCACCTAATCCGAGTCATAATCAGGAAAAATGGCTTAAGCAGCCGACTAAAGGGGCAAAGAACTCGAAGTTTCTAGTTCTTTCTTACTATAATAAATGAAGGCAATTAACTTAAAATTAATATTTAAGCTAGGGAATTCAAAACATAAAACATTATTAAAATGTTCTTTGAATGTATACAATTTTCCTATCCAAGATATGTATATATATGGATTTTTTTAGATGTCCTTTTTATTAAATTGCAATCGAAAATAAACTGTTAGTTTTGCAAGAACATAGTATGTAAATCTTAACTTTGAGGAACCTTTAATGTTCAGAGTTTTAAACAAACAGAAAAGTTTATGGAAAATATAGATCATTGTTTAAAGTATTGTGTTTGTTATACCAAAAGTGTTTTTATTTTGAGAAAACAAGAAATACCTACTGATGGAATAAGTCCTGTCTAAAACACATTTTAAGCAATTCTCTTTTTAGCTATCTTAATTTAACTTTTTCAAAGTAAATATTTTAAAATGCCAAAGAATCAAGCCCTCAAATGGCTTCGGAAATGTCAGCTTCTGGTCACGAAATGTCGCTCGAGCTGTCATACCTGTACAGATATAAATTCCATGCAATATTCATGGAATGCCCGTCATAACCGAAACTCAATTATTGTCAAATGAACACATTGATGGTCCGACGGCCACGCAAGACAATTTACATGCGAGTTGTGTTGACTTGGTTTTTGGGTGGGTTTGGTTTTGGTTTGGTTTACTGGGTTATTTGGTTAGTTGTTTGGGGTGGTCTAAGGTCAGGGATTGGGATAAGTGCTTCGTTAATGGACGGGGGATGTGCCAAGTGGCGGTCAGGGTTCGCATGTGGGCCGGTTATTAAAGTAACAAGTAAATTGCAAAATAATACGCCACCCCACTTGGCCTCGACCTTGGCCAAAAAGATGATGATGATGATGATGATGATGATGATGATGTATATGATGATGATGATTATTATGGGGATAAGTGGTAAGTGGGTGCTGGAGTTTCTCCTGCGTCATCGTGAAAGTATTCCACGGCATTTTTTTCATGGTTTTTATTATAAAATTTCGTGTGTCGCATGTCTGCTCGTTCGGGAACCATGTAATGGCGTCATCTTTGCCCTGCTTAGATATTTATGAAAGAGTCCGCAAAGAGAGTTTGTTTGGGGACAGGAAAAAGGGAGGGAGAAAGTGCAAGGACAGGGACAATTTCATTTCATTCAAGTTCATTCGGTGCGGCAGCGTGAAATTGTTATGGTTGGAAAATGTAATTTTTAACAGTCGCGTGTTCGACCCTTGGCAAAAAGTAAAAACCCCCTCCGATGTCGCATGCCCTGAACTCTCAGTTGTCATCGTGTGCGATGGTGGTGGTGACCAGTGTGTCCTTGCAGTGCTTGAGTCCAGATTGTGTGCTTCTGACATGTCCTGTCAGAATGCCCGGCACACAGCTAAACTAAAAGGCACATTAAGGAAAACAGGTCGGGTCGCAGTTCGGTGAAAGCTTTGCTTTGGCCATCATTCTAATTGGGTCATTAGCAAGATTGCACATTCTAACGCAATTTCCTAATACCCCCTCCTTCTTTTAGCCATATAATTGTATTTGTTTTTACCCTTTCTTCTCCCTCTTTTTCAAAGTTTTGTTCTTGGCAAATGCAATTCTCTAATTGACGTTCTGCAAGCTTATTATTGCCATTCAGTTAACAGAACTGTCGTTGCCTTTTTGTATCACGTTCATGGGCATGCCACCTCAACCAAGTTCTTTTAGTGCAATCTCGTTTTCTCCGATAAGATATTGATTCGCTCACTGTGAAGTGCCCTATTCCCGTATATGACGACAGTGGGCAATAAACCTTTATTGTCAAACGAGCAAACCTCGGATTTCTTGGAATTACTTCACTTTTCCATGAACTCTGTCTTCAAGTTAATCGAATTAAGGTTGTGTCTTAATCAATCACAGATGATAAGGTTTAAAATCAGCGTTTGCCTTTAAACTTGTTGTTCAGAGTGAATCATTTCAGAGTTATCTAATATTAGTTAGTTTATATTGAAAAAAACTATTTGCTTGATCTATTTACATCATAATTTATTAGTATCCATAAGTATTCTATACAAATCATATATTTTCCTCATGATATGTATTATAAGAAATTGTTACCTTTATTGTTCCATTTAATTTATTGACCTACTTATCTTTGTTATTGAAAACACCTCATTCCTAACTCGATAAGAAACAAACCCAATTTAGGTTGATCAGGTGGCTCTGGTCATTTTACAACCGGATCTTGATCAATTGTTTATAATTATTTGATGTTCTTTTTATGCCCGCATTCATTTGTTTTGATTTTGCTTTCCCTCTCACTTTCTTGCAACTCCAAGTTTGGCATATTTTTATTGCATGCATATCCCCACTTTCACTGACGCTGGTTTTTAGGTCGAGCGTTACTCACCCGCTGACCGGCGAAGAACGGCGACGTCATTAATCATATTCCCATGGATACATGGAAACAAAACCTTCAATGGCTCCAATGGATCGAGCGGAACAACAAGTGCAAGTTATGGCGAGAGGGTGACAGCTGTTGGTCTTGTAATTATCATCATTATGGGCGTCGTCTTGCGGCGCGTGACCAACTGTTGGCCAAGTGTCAAGTCCATTAACAAGCCACCAGGCAGGCGGCAGGCAAGTAGTTGGTGCACCCACCAACTCGCGATGGTGGGATTTTGAGCCCCTCTGGGGAGGACATGCAGCCAGACTGCCGCTCGGTTTCACTCAGACAACTTTTTTGTCTTGCCAGTCAGTCTGGCAGTCGAGCAGTCCTGCTTTATCGCATGTCACCTAATTGGACCCTCCCTCCACACTTTATGGTAGTCGCGGGATTCATATTTACCCCGAGGGCGTCTCGAGCTGTTGAATCTTTAATGGGGTTTTCGCGAAGCGCAATTACCGGCCCTGACTCGATTTATTAGGCGTTTTCGAGAAATGCAAAATTAATGCGAGTTTAACTCGACGATGAGCACGTTGATTGCTAAATTATTTGCTCGATAACCAAAGAAAAAAAAAAGGAAGCCGCCAATCAAAGAATAAAAGTGAAACTCACGCAACTTCGCAACCCGAATCCGAGTGAAGTTTTCGATTTCGATTTGGGAGGCGGGAATGTGGGTCGATTGGTTAGCGCCCCCTAGCGGCACTCAATTCTTTTTATCGCGCCTCTCTCCGCGCTTCTCACACGCCCCACTTGTAGGGTAAAATGGTTGAGCATTGGGCACGTGTTTTCTCCCCTTCAGTTCGACAATTAAAATGGGGAAATGGGTATCGATCTAGCTGAAAAGCGAAATTACATGGCTCTCAATGAAATCGAAGTTTATGATGCCCCTGAGGATGGCATGTACATTTCAGCTGACTCATGGTGGTATCTCCCCACCCGTATAACTTTTATTGATCTACGACCCTTTCTGTGTCTCATTTAATTAACGAAATTGTTTTTAAATATATATAAAGCATGTATAGTCGTGACAAGCATCAGTCATTTCTGTCGGTTAAAATCAAAAGTACAAATAATCCATCATTACACCTTCGTTTAATGAATGAGTAATGCATGGGATATTACAAAGGCTGTATATTTTAAACTATCTAACCCGTTTATTATGAAACCCTGCTGTTTAACCTCGACCGTTTTTCTCAATCAATGATTATTAGCTGCTTTACTTTATCAGAAAGCCAACGCAAAGAATCGGATAAGATAAGTGCAACAGTGATTTCATGCATGTGTTTATAAGTCCAAATCAGTAAACAATTCTGCCCCCGTTTATGTAGGCCAATTACGTCATGGGTTTCGATGTTACCCTAGTCGAGAAGATCTTAGTCGCTGAGGAAATTGTGTTCAGTGTATTGAACCGTGCATTTGATTATTTAGTGCTCCCATCTGGCCGAACAGCCCGCCTCCTTGCCATCGTATACATGGAAATTTATGTGGCCAAAGTGGGTCATGCATGTTCATTGGAGGTAGTTATGGAACTGGGAGTAGTAGGGTAATTTTCCTAGAGTTCGCATAACACGGCCGGGCAATAGAAGTGGCCAAATGCGCATGCCTTCGTGTCCGTTAACGGAGTCAATAAAACGTTCTACCATAAACAGGAAAAAAGGGAGTTGGGTATAAGATTGGGAATGGGCAGACTGGTATCCACTAATATGCAAGTTCATGTAGCGACAAGGTTGTTATTTAAAAGGCATTTTCCATAGGCCCAAAGTAAACATGCGTGGGTCTCCGATTAAACAACTTACACTTGTCCAGACAGCTAAAGCTGGCAAAACAAAAACACGGACAGCCAACCTGAATAGAGAGGCAAATTAGGCAAAAGCCAACGAAGCATTGGCCAGGTTGTGTAAACATAAACAGAAGGACTCTCTGCCATCGGGATCATCCCCCGCACTTCGCCGCCATAAATAATTTAGAATTTAATAAGTCCCCCGGAAATCCCATTCCCATCCTGATGAGTCCAGACAGATAAAGTTTGAGCGACAGCGGACTATTTTCCGTTTACTTTTCAGTCCTGAAGACGGTGAACTTGGTTCTGGGAAAATTAACGCATTTTTACTCGTATTTGATAAGCAGAGTAGCTGTGTGTGAAGGTTCGTTAGAATGGCCTGATCGATATTTAGTATAGTATGGATTACTCTCAATTCGCAGGGGAAAAGCTTGGTAATTCAACACAGGAAAAATAAACATAAATCATTGAGTTCATGTTCTCAAAAGAAACATATTTTCCTTGACACACTAAAAATGTAGTTATAGTACTGTACTACATACTTAACTATTTGTAAAGAAAACAATGAATGAGTGAACGAAAAATTTAGTAGTAAACATTGGGAAATTTATCTTACTTAATGAGGAAAAACCTTTCCTTTTTAAAAATGTAACCTTAACCTTAAA